TACAGCTTTTGTCGATTCTTATAAGCGATATTTGAGATCGATTGCTGAGTAAGAAAGAAGTGACACAAAGAAAGAGAGATGATAAAGATAAGTTATAGTTTTCTATGTGACGAATGCATCTCCCAGTTATTTTCATAAGCCATAGCTTAACCTCAAGCTCTTTATATGCTAAATGTGGTAAATGCCCTTCTTGGCGATTCTCATAAGCAATTACTTAGCTTATTATCTAAGAGAGGGGAGAGAGAGAGAAAAGTGTCACACAGAAATACAAAGACACAGCCGTGAGGAAGAGAGAGATGAACAAAATAAGATATAGTACTCTATGTGACGAGTCTCCCAGTTATTTTCATAAGCCATAACTCAATCTCAAGCTCTATAAAGTAAGGATAAAATGGCAGAGAAAGGGGTTGACATAAAGTGCAATATGTGGTAAATGCCCTTCTTGGCGATTCTCATAAGCAATCGCCTAGCTTATTATCTAAGAGCTATAGCTCAGCTAAAACTCTATAATGTAAAGAGAAAGGGAAAGGGGCTGGCATAATGTGTTGAATGTAGTAAATGCCCTTCTATGCGATTCTCAAGCGCATTCGCTTAGCTTATTATCAAAGAGAGGGAAGAGGCAGAGTAGAGAGTGAGAAAAGTGTCACACAGAAATAAAAAGACAAAGCCCTGAGGCAGAGAGACTAAAATGTGACAAGTTTGATATGCGGCAAATGCAGCTCAATGCGATACACATAATCAATACCCAAGTCCCATGTCTGATAGATATCTTATTCCATTCGCAAGCTAAGGCTTTAATTCATTCTATTATTAAACGGAATAGAAACCAGCTTAATGCTAATTTATTTTACTAATTACAAATCAAAATTTTCATGTCATTTGGGCATATTCTTACCAAAATAAATAACGACTTTTGTGGCCCATTTCAAGCCAGCAATTTAGCTCAAAAGATATTTTTAAAGCCAAATTAAATAATAATCGCCTCTGCCACAGATTGGGTTTAATGTGGGTCACAGAGCCGCCGTAAAAGTCTTTTCAAGGCACGGGGTTCAAATTTCGAGCTACCTTTAGCTCTGTGTGTGTGTGTGTGTGTGTGTGTGTGTGTGTGCGGGGGCTGGAAACTGGCCTTAACTTTGCACACAAAGTGCGGAAAAGCTTTTTGTCTGCCTGCTTCCTGTGTGCGTGTGTGTGTGTGTGTGTGTGTGTGAATGCGTTTTATAATCGAATTAATTAAAATTTTGCACACTGCCTCCGGCGGCAAACTCCGCTCTGCCAGTCCAGCGGCGACCTAAAGCGTAATTTTGCACTGGGAGAAAAACTTCAATTTGCCACAATAACAAGAAAAACTTTCGAAATCTTGAATTTAGTTTAACGGACTTTCTCAGACTTTCCCCATCTCTGGCTGCACATTATTTCTGATTTAAATTCTATACTTCTTCCTTCTTTTCAATTTACTAATTTGTTTTTTTTTCGGTGTATAAATTTAGCGGACTGCCCGCATTCTGCAGTTTCCGTTCGCATCACCTATTCCGGGCTCCTGCTTTGTTAAGCGAAATTTCCAATTCAGTGAACTTTTTGTTACCAGCTGCACAGCCCCACTGCCGTCCCTGCCACGCCCCCTTTTTTTATTTTATGGAACTGGTAGCAGCCCCTTGCCATGCCCCCCCCCCCCCCCCCTTGCTGTCCTGCTGTATGTGTCAGCTAAAACAAAAGCTTTTGTAGTTGCCACAAATTATTTGTACCAAATCGTGCCACACAAGAGGCGTCTCCATATCGAAGCTGGGATGTTTGCCTCCTTTGGTTGACAACTGGTTGTCAACTTGGTGTCCAGCGTAGTTGTCACAGTACTCAGCCGTAATTGCTGCTGACGTCACAAAACCGAAAAATTGTGGCACTAATAATATTGATATACTATAAATATATATATAAAGTTTGTACACCCAGAGAAAAAAAGTGAAAAAAAGATGTCCTAAGATTTCTGTGAACCTTTTTTAAGCCCGAAAGAGAAGATTCACATTTAGAACTTTCTCTCTATCTCTCTGATAACAAATGCATACGCTTATTAGAAAAAGTACTCTGTACTTAATTCAAGATACAAATTCTTATATCGAAATTCCTAAAAACATGACTCAAATGCAATCCTTAAAAAAACCGAAGAACTGAGAACCTTTGAAGCTTATTGCAAATTCTTGTAATACGTATTTCGTACTTAATCCAAGCGTTGATTAAAGATAATTTAACTTTTGAAATTTATCCCAGTCAAACTAGAATATAACTGTTTTTTCTCGGAGTGCACTCTATTATCGAATTAGCGTGCACGCTTAATGCCAGCTTAGTTTCGCTTTCAGTCAAACAGCTCTTCAGGGAGCGCATATTACGTATACGCCGCATATGGCGTTAACAACTTTGCCATTATTCCCTCACACAGATCACATTGTCCTGGGCCCGTGTTCCTTGAGCGTCAGAGCTCAGCTGTTGCTTCGCATGGAGTCAGTCGTGCTGTTTCATTTATTGCCCAAATAATTCATGAATTTCCGTACATTTGGCCCGTTCGCTTTGGTTTGCTTGTTAACGGCGCTTATAAGCCGCTTTATGGATGGCCAAACAAAAGGTCGCCGCATCCGCTGCTTAAAACGATACTTTCCACAGATTGCCCCATAACCTTTAGCTCAAAATAATATGTGTGTGTGGATGAGTGTACAATATCTTAACATAAAACTTTTACAATAATGGCCCAGAACTCCAAAACTCCAAAAAACGTTTTGTTATGTATGGAAAATACCATAAGAGGGCGAAGCCAAGAGAGGCAGCTAGAAACACAGATACTTGGAAGGGTTTGGAATAAAATTAACACATTTTAGACAATTCTAAAAAAAATGTGGCATGACATTGGAATTCATAGGAATTTTTAAGAGCTTTAAGTACAGGAATGTCAAAATTCAATAACAAGAGTATTTTTATTTGGAGCGTTGAGAATTAAATATCCTTGCAGACAAACTACTCTAAAACTTGGCCATACATTATTCTTATACTAAAAGAACACAATTTTCATCTGGTCTTTTCTATTTAAATTATATCATATAGTAATCCGATATATCAAAAATTTGCTCATTAATATTTTCCATTAAAAAGCTTAGGCTTAATTGAAGGCATTCTGTCTTAAAGCTTCCACTTGATTCTCAAGCTATTTAGGTGCGAAGTTTACTTCTGTATATATATTTTTTTTTAACAAATTTACTTAATAAACCGGGCTGCATTTAATTCTCAAGCTGTAAAGGCGCGGAGTTTACTATATTATTTTATACTTTTTTAATATCTCTTAACTCTTAATCTTTGATTTAACTCTTTTCACACGAAGCGTTTACGACGCCAACTGTACCCACCATGTTTCCTGTTTGTGGGGTGGCCATTTACTTTTTGCCTGCTGCGTGTGGTGTTCTTTTTTTTTTAATAGTGTGTCAATAGACCGGTCAACAGCAACGGCGACAACAAGAATAGGATGAGTTGTTGGCCTTAACTATTTATTGGCTACACTAATCACAGACCGGCGAAAATAAACAAGGCGATGACAGCTGTCGCTAATGTTCTTCTAGTTGTTGTTGGCTATAACTGTAACTGTAACTATAACTGTAACGGTAACTGGGTCTGTTGCGGCCGTTAGTTTTGTGCCATTTACTGTTCGATTGATGACAATTGTCTGAAGCGTGCCATAAACGAAATCAATCAACTGGCAGCACACGCAACGCGACGGCAAATAACCATAGAGGACGACGGCGGCGGCACGAATAGTGAGCGCACAAAATGCCAAGTAGCTGTAACTTTTAACTGTAAATATAACTGTAAAAGCGCAGGAAATATCAGCGACGACCAAGACAACGCACGAAAGTTAGCAGCAGCAGGGACAACGATTGCAAACTGACTAACAGTAAACAGCCGTGACGACGACATGATGACCTTCACCAACACGCACAGCCCCAAGGAAAGTGGCCAAAAAACGAAACTTTTCGCACACACACACACACACACACGCAAGCAATAACAAAGCTGGGACGCGGCTGCGACGCCAGCAGCAACAGCAGCAGCATCAGGCGCCTGGCAAAAGCTTCGTCAGCGACTTTGTGCTTTGATTTCATTTCGCGTTGCGTGCCGAGAAGAGACAAGTCTTTTTTTTTCAAATGCAAAATGGCCATAAACTTGCAAAAAGCTGCTCTCTCACGCAACTTGGCTGTATGTGTGAGTGCGAACGTATGCATATGTGTGTTCAATTGTTCTCACAGCTGACAAAGAGTGAGAGTGAGTGAGAGCGCCATGTAAACATAAGGCGACAGTTGCCAGTTGAGCTGCCATATTATGTTTGTGTGTGTGTGTATGTGTGTATTTTGTTGTATATTCCTGACAGGCAACAGAGTTTGTTGAGTGCGTTCTATACCCTTGTAGGGCGAGTGAGAACAAGTATATATGTATATGTTTATATTCCACGCTAAGTCTCTCCGTCTTAAAGCGATCCTAACGAAACTTGGTATGTATGTTTTTTTAAATATAAATTTTTTTTTTTAAACGTTCCATTAGCAAACTATAATAACCAATCTGACTATTATATCTATAGCTACAAACTATTATTTTAGATGCAACTACATCATACGAAGAATCGCGCAAAATAGAATGAAACTAAAATGAATATTAATATAATATAGAGTATTTCACCTTCGGCATGCCGAAGTTCTATCTTTGGTGAGTTTCTTGACGTATGCGTCGCCACTTTTAGCAGCTGCAAGCACATCAAAGCTTTTGCTCACCCACACATTAGCAACAGCAGAAGAGAGAGAGAGAGAGAGAGAGAGAGAGAGATGGCAAGATAAAGAGAGCCGATGCCTCAGTATGAAAGCTTTTAGGCTAATCATAAAAATAAACTCGTGCTGCAGCTTGAATGTGTTTTGCAATGGAATGCGTGGGCGGGCAGCCATAATCGGCCATAACGATCGTATACAATAACAACTTACGATATCCTCCTCGGGTATGGTGGTGCAGGAGGTGCGAACATGTCGCACACGATGCATTGCATCCAGGCTCAGGCGATGCTCATGATCGTCGCGCAGCATGGCATCGAATACAGCGACGCCGCCATCGATGCTGCTCTCGCGCAGAATGCGCCCGCCGCGTCCGCTGAAGCTGCCGCTGAAGCTGCCGCTGCCGCCATGATGATGGGCAGCTGCATAGCTGACGCCCACCTCCGAAAAGGAACGTATGCGCATCGCTCCGTTCTCGTCCGTGGTGAGGGCGACCGATTTAAAGCGATCGATAACCGCATCCTGAATACTGTTCACGCTCAGCTGATTGCCCATGGCGAGCGACACAGTCGGGACACAAGCAAAAACTCAAACAAACAACAAAACAACAGACGAGGCAGCTGCTGCCGCGGATGAAGCCGCACGTTCGGGCGCTTCTGCACGGCGCCAGGTTGTTTATCAAACTGAAGTCCGGCACGGGCATTCAACAGGCAACGACCAGAAGGCAGACAGGCAGGCAGCTAGCCAGCCAGCCAGGCGTGGAGAGCGCAAAGGTGGGAGTAGCAGAACGGCAGAGAGAGAGAGAGAGAGGGAGAGCTGAAGTGCGGCCACAGGTGCCGTTATTGCACTGCACTGAAACTGCAGTCGCGGCAGAACTTTGCTTGCAGCAGCGGCAGCCTTTTCCAGGAACCATTTCAAAGCTTTTAAGCTCGCAACGGCCAATGCAATAAGCCAATGCAAACCGCAGCACACACACACATGCATACACACACACACACACACACACACACACACATGCATATGCAAACACACACATATATGTACATGAGATTCGCCGTGTTTATTTATGTATTGAAGCGAGAGCGAGAGATAATGAACCAAATGAAGCATCTCACACGCGGGTTTTTTGTCTCCCTAAATATGTCCACGCTGTGGTCACGGCTGACCCCAAAAATAGACCAAGAGGATTATTGATTTGAACGATTATCAACCAAAGCGTAATCAGGGATGAGCTCTGGCATCCAAAAACACGCCATTTTAGAGAAATTAAGCTCCAAAAAGGAGTTGATTGTGGATAAAAAATGTGGGATCAAATCAAATTTTCAGTCATAAGCAAAAGCCGTATTGAAACCAGAGAACCCGAGTTTATACATTCCAAAACATGGAATTCGTTTTAGAGAAACGATTTAATAAAAACAGAAGTTCGAATCTGGATATTGATTATGGATTAAAAAATTGGGATCAAATACTTTCAATCACATTTACAAGCCGAAATAAGATGAGAGAACCAAGTTTATACATTCCAAAAAGACATTTACTTGCTGCGGCAAATCGTGCGATTGTGTGTGTGTATGTGTGTTAAGCGTAGTGTTTATTAACGTCAAAAACAATTTACATGATACACGCATTAGATGGGGCTAGATGGGAAAATAGACATCCAGACATCCGAAATGAAATCAGAGAACCCGAGCTTATATATTCCAAAAAGACATTTATTTGCTTGTGCGATTGTGTGTGTGTATGTATGTGTGTGTGTTAAGCGTAATGTAGTGTTTGTTAACGTTAAAAACAGATCTAAAATGTTTAGGATATGAGCGTTAAAATGGCACCAAGAAGACAGCAGCAATTGGGCTGCAACTATCTGGTACGACGTCGGTTTAATTTGGATTTCTTGACACGTTTGGGGCGACGTGTCGAGTGCAGCTTCAAGGAGATATTCGGCTTTGATTTGGCCTTCAATTTGCGCAGCCGCCCAGAAGCCTTTGTTGTATTGGGAATGGAAATTCTCTTGGGCTCCTCGGACAATAGATCTACGGCCAGCCGAGCGCCAATATAGGGACCCTGCGAGAGGGCAGAAGATGCAAGTGATTTGTGTAGGGGGCAATTTGGGGATTAAGGGCAAACCTCCTCGAACATCATGCGTTCCCTGGGCTGGAGTCCTTGCCAAGCCGCCGATGCATCACAGACCAGCTGCTGCGGCGTGGAGCCCCTTTCATAGCTTCCAAGCCAATATTCGCGCAAGAAATTATAATAGGCAGATTTGGTCACCAAAACGGGGACAGCCATTTTTAACCAAAACGAAATTGAACCGAAAACCCGATACTCAATTACGTACGTAACAATTTATACTTTTATTTTTGACGGAGTGTTTGCTGTTTACAGTGTTAATGCTGCTGTTGAACTGATTCCGAATCGGTTAAGGCATTGCCTGTGCTTCCGTATCGGTTTGAAAGTCCTCTCAAGGCCTACTCTCGAGACAAAATAGGACAAGAAGGAACCAAGAAACAGGTTGAACATTTAATAAAAATATGTCTTTCATTAGATATGTGATATATGTGCAGATATGTGAGTAGAATCTTAAAGCTCGCAGTTGCCTAGTTTGATGAAAAATATATATTATATATCTTGAAAATTAAACTAGGAAAAGAATACAATCGCCTAGCCAAAACCACACTATGGAAAGTGAAAGGGAACTTTCGGCGAAACAATCAGTCGAAAAATTCTACGAATATTTCAATCAGCCCAAAAATTCTCAGTAATAAACGAGACAAACGGAACGAATTGTTAGTTTTATTTCAAAATCGATCTAAGCTGGAACTACAGCTTGTTCCGAGCTCTCCTAGTCATCATTTTCATACAGATTGACCAGAAAGCAGACGGACAAACGAGACATTCAAGACTCTGATGTTGATGTAGGTCAAGAATGTATACACTTTAGGCGATCGGGTATGCACGTTTTCTTGCCCCATTATGCACCTAACCTTTTGCCTAGCGAAGCCAAGTAGACATCCGGGAATAGATTAAAGTTAGTTGATCGGAATTTTTAATAATAATACAAATAAAATATAAAAAACACGTGATGGACTTACCCGCTCGAGTTTTTGAAAATAGTTGCGCAGGAATTGCACGGGATTGTCCGGTCGGCAGACGCACAGCTGGACAATGCAGTCTTTGAGGACGCGCTGAATGCCATGCGATTGTATATAATGTTCGCATTCGCGCAGGCTTTGCTCCTCCAACGTCTTGGCCATCATGTAAGACATGTGTCAGTGTGTGAATGTGTGGGTGTGCGTGTGCGTGTGTGTGTGTGTGAATGAGTTGAAGGTAAAACGTTGGAACTGAAGCGTGTTGGAGCTGTAGATTGCACAGATGACAGCGTGATTGCGGGTTTTTCTTTCTGCAATACGCAGTATACACGAGCTATGTAGGGTATCTGTGTGGAATTGTGGCTGTGACTGTGGGTGTGACTGTGGGTGTGTGTTTGTGTGTGTATGTGTGTGTGCGGTTAATGTTTGGCTGTGGTTTGCTGCTGCTGCAGCTGTTGCAGCTGTACGAATTGCAATTGCTACACACTACAGGAAAATCAAGTAAATAAACTTATTGAACAGGGGCGTCAAGTGCACCGCGAGCACCACTTTTGTATGTACATATGCATGTATGGGTGTATAGCTTTTTCTTTGCTTTTGCTTTTGGTTTTGCTTTTACTGCTTTTTTGCTTTTACTCTTGGCTTTTGGCACTGTTTTCACTTTTGCAATTCACGTCGTTTAGCAGTGCTGCGGTTTGGTGCTGCCGTTTGTCAATTGCCTACCCGTTTGCTGCAGCATTTAGGGCAATTTCTAAGGTTTTGCGTATGTGCGGAATACTGTTTTTTCATAAAAACTTAACTAATTTTCACGCACGTAAACCACTACAGTCGTTGTTGTTGTTTTTGTGAATTAGTGATGGGCAGCCAGTGTGAACAGTTGGTGCCAAAAATACTAAAGCTTATTAAAGTCAAGTATCGATACCGATAATGGGTATCTTTTTAATTTAACAACACTAGCGCTTTATTGGGTATTTTGTAACAAGGCAATGGAGCATTGTTGTTAAATTGTTGTATTCACTAAAAAGTGTAAAAATACTACATTTCGCATCACAAACGGAATATCATGCTTAACAGAACGAATACTTACTGGTAATATTATATGATGTATCGATCAACAAATTTTAAAAATACCAAAGTCACTTAATATCGTGTGTAGCTATCGATAACAGATACGAATCAGGCACTAACAGCACTGATACTTTTTTTGGCAGCTACATAATAACGGTGAAACGGAGCGCTGTTATTTTTAAATGTTCACCTAATTAAAATAAACCGAAAACATTAGCTATGTGGATGATGCAAGAAAACAGCAATTATTTGTGCCATCAATCAAAGGTGAGTTCTGGTTGAGCCTCACTTTCGGCTCAAGCAATTGTACTTTGCCCGACACCCAAAATGGGTTTATTGATTTTTCTCGCATAGCTAAAATGCTGCACACGGAATCGTTGCCCAGTCATCAAGGTATCTACACGCCGCTAAGTCAGGCAATGACCGACTCCGAATCCGATGAAGAGATTGAAATACACAACGCCAACAAGCATCGACAGGGACAGCAGCAGCAGCAGCAGCAGCAGCCGCAGCAGCAGCAACCATCGCAACTGCAAATACATCAACAACAACGCAATCGCAGCCGCATACCACCAAATACATTAGCTTTAAAATCGCCGCACACACGACCCACAGCTACACGCATCGTAGGCGGCTCCCAGCCAAAGCAACAGCAGCAACAGCAGCAGCCACAGGAGCTCCGGGAGCAGCAGCAACCGGCCAACGGCAACAGAAGCAGCTACACGACCAACATGCAGAACACCTTCCGTTCGGTGATGCTCAGCGATTTGGGCAGCACCGGTGCCGGCAGCGTTGGCGTTGAGTTCTCCAATTTCAATGGCGAATATGATGCGAGCGCCGATAATGTGGCCATTCTGGGCAACCACCAAACGGACGAGGCAAAGCGTCCGCCCATGTCTACTAGGCGGCGCATCTGTTTTATTGCCTCGCTGTTGCTGTGCCTTTTTGCCATCGTTGGCTTTGTTTGGCTTATACCCTGTGGAAATGCGGATGGCACTGGCGCCTGTCCGGCGCCCGTGGATCGCCAGAAGACGCACAATTGGCTGAATAACTATACCAAAATTGAGCTTAGAGGCGGCGTTAATGTTGTCGCCGGCCTCCGGGCCTGGGAAAATAATCTAATATTTCTCTATCGTGGCGATGTCTTCTTTCCGGAGTTTCGTCCCAGCAATCACAAGCGTAATGGCATCATATCGCTGATTGGCAGCTCCGGCGCTGTTGCCTGGTACGATGAGACGGTTGACGAGCCGGTGGCCATAGATTGCACCCTGCTGGATGTGGACAGCAACGGGAAGCCGGATTGCCTGGTCATCGATGAGTACGGTGAACTGGGCGCCATCAATGCGAACAGCGGCGAGTGGCACTGGCGCTTCAAGGATCATGCTGCCCACAAGCTGGACGCCTATGACTTTCCGCTCATCTTGCCCGATATTGATGGCGACAACGTGCTGGACATATTGCTTATATCTAGCCTCTCGCTGGAGCAGCGCACCAAGACGTTCGTCCAGCACCAACAGCAGCCGGGCTCACCAGCTGCCGCTCAGCTGGAGGCACGAAATGTGCTGCGGCTGCTGTCGGGCCGCCGAGGCCGGCCCATTGGCGAGGGCTTTCGTGTGCACGATTGCCACAAATTGTCCAGGCTGCAACTGGACACGGCGGCAACTGCTGCTGGCGGCAATTTGGGCGTCGCCTCCGGCACCGCCTCGGCTGCCATGCTCAACATTAGCTACAGCTGCTGGCGCAACAATACGGAGCAGCAGCGCTCCAAGTCGCTGGCCGAGCTCTATGCGCTGATAACGAACAAATCGCTAGTGGGGCGACGTCTGCTGCCCGCATCGAAGATCGCGCAGCATCGTCGCTATGGCCAGCGCAAGGACATGGATGCACAGCGTAATGTTTATCTGCTCAGCGGACGCGAGCTGCTCGTGGAGAATCGCGGCAAGTGTCCCGATTGCAATGTAACGCTGAAGTTGAGCGAAACGCGCGATGGTCGCCGCAACATGCTGCACAATTTCACGAACAGCGGCATGTACGGCATGGTGCCGGCCCAGTGGCACTTCAAGAACACCAAATCCAAGATGTCGGGCTTTGTGATAAAGTTCTGGAAGTGGCACAGCCCCTCGAGCAGCGGCAACAACAGCGCGGATAAGAGCCACAACTATACGAACAGCAGCTCCAAAAATATAAATGCCATCCGGGAGAAGGACAAGAGCAAGGACAAGTCAAAGTCTCAGCAGCAGCAGCAGCATAAGAAGCAACAAAAGGAGTCGCAGCAACAGCAACAACGCCTGAAACGCGACTCGCTGGATTATGAGTTTCCCGCGGACCAAGCGGAGTTCGATGCCTTTGAGCATTTGTTGCCGCTGCAGAAGCGCGAAACCTTCACCATAGCCGCCGCCAAGAATCAGAGCAAACCCAACGCCGCTCAGTCGCAGCTCATGAAGAATTACAAAATGCAAATGATCACCGAGACGGTTATTTTGGTGCTCTTCATCGGCGCCGATACGCGCATCGAGAACACCTCGCAGAGCAATATCATCCAGTTCTGTCGCAACGATCGCAACGAAATGATCTGCCAGCCGGATCTGAACAATCAGGAGAATTCGATGCTGATTGCGGATCTCGATTCGGATGGTTCGCAGGAATTGGTCTCCTACATGTCCACCTTTGTCCAGGCAAATGATGAACCCACCAGCGATTGGAAGCTGGTCAGCTATGTGCGTCTGCTGCGACTTCAGGCCGAGCTGCCTGCCTTTTACGACCAGGAAAAACGCAACTAGGTGGCAGCCAATTCCTGGGACATTCGTGTGCATTTAAAATCCACTCACTAGTCAGCTAGACAAGGGCATTGGAAGGAGGGATTGGGCGGCATACAGTGCTTAGTAGTTAAATTGCTAGTTGCATTATATTACGATAACATTAAACAATTACAATTGTACTATATATTATAAATAGAAACCTTTTCTAGAATCCCAAAATAAAGCACTCGTGGCAAATAAACGGACGGCAACCTTTGTTAACTTTGACTGCGGAAAGAGCTACGGAATTCCAAATGGACAACAAGAAATTCAATTCGTGAGTCTGATCAAGGTAAAAACTAAAAACAGACCTAATAGAAACGGGAAAAGTATTATTAAAGTGAAACATTTACGATCTGCGTGTGCTTCTTGCCAAATTTGGTGCCTTTGGCTCTTGTAATCGCCAAGATGAAAAGAAAACGAGACGAAGTCTCCTTTAAATTAATATATATCTTAA